TTTTTTTTTTCTGTTACGTTCTCTTCGCGGGGGTGAAATTATGAGATTATTAAAGTAATTAATTTAATTTTGTTATTTCAAAAAAAAAATAATAATAATAATTTTGTTGTTGTGAAAGACGGTAATTAGAACAGGTTAAGTACGTGAGGTGTCGTTTTGTTGCGTACAATAGCCCGTTTGGCGCGGTATGGAGAATTGCTAAAAAAAAATAATTTTATTTATATATATAATATATTTTCCATATATATAAATAGCCAAATCAATCAAATTCATTATTCTCAATTCATATATTTTAAACTAGTTTGTATCACTTATTATATCTTACTTTAATTATCACATCAACTTTAATGATTATATTTTAACGGTTTTGCTATGAAGTCAACAATTGGCTTTATAGTGAAGTCAACCTTTCATATACAACAAATAAATCATATCATATTAATAAAATTATATTAGTGTTATTTAAATAGTCAGGAGAATATAGCAGGTTTATTTGTTGTATATAAAAGGTTGCTTCACTATGGTAACTCTGTCAATTTTTAAGAAAAAATTGTGCTTTCATAAGTTATCATCACAAGAAAAATGCAATATGAAATAAAAATTTAGTTAATGTAATTTTTTCAACTAAAAAACTTATTTTGTTACAAATTCCAGATGTTGAATTTTAATAATAAATAAGTGATATCTCATTATTTTTTATTTTTTTATAACTTGAAGAGATTATGCAGATTTTAGATATCCAAAATAAACTTGATAGTACATGCATCAAAATTTGTATCAATAAATAAAACTATTTTCTATAAAATTAGTACGTACCCCCCGTGCGATGCACGAGATAAAGATGTTGAATGAGTTATTTTCATAGAGTTATTTTCACAAGCGTTGTCTGTTTATGTCTAAAAACCAATAGGTTATCATCTATTTTCTATTTATTTTAATTAACATTAATTCGAAAAGGCAATAAGGTTATAATCTATATTAATTCGAAAAAATAAGAAGATTATAATTTATTTTTCATTTTTAATCAACGTTGTTTTTTTGGCATAACATTAAATATGAGAATATTAAGGCTAACTTGTAAAATAATTAATATATTATCTCAATATCACATTTATACTAATATAAAAATAATTTTAGTATATATATTTATTCTGTTAAGGCGTAGGCACCAATCATAATGTGCCACATCATGTTGTGGCACCATAATATGGTGCCACATGTGGTGCCATAGAATTTCTGATTATATCACACCATTCCATAACATATTTATCTTATTAATACGTTTGGCTCTAATAAATAAGACTTTGAAATAAGTTACCGCTCGATCTGATTATTAAGATTTTTCAGTATTAGGTATCCCACTTAGGGGATAGGATATCCCCCTCCCCCTATATATTAATCCAGAACGCGTTGAGTCTACGTGGCTGCTTCTGGCGCTTCGAAATCCTATGTGACAAAATTACATGTTTCGTTATTAGGCTTGGGTAAATTTTAAATTAATTCCAAACGAAAACTAATTAGGTTCGGATTACCATAAATATGTTGATTATTTATGGTCATGTTAAATGTATTAATTGCATTTTAATATCATTCCTTATTTTAACTATTGAAGTGTATATATATTTTAAAAGTTAATAACTATTATATTTTTTATCAATTTTACATATGTAATATATCAAATTAATCTTATTTCGAAGAACTTCGATTTAACATCTATATTGTATGTATAAAAAAAAAATAATTTATATTTATCTTTATAACAATAATAAAATTATTTTTAATATTAATTAGAAAAATAAAATTATTTATCAACTAATATATTTATATTTCAAGTAGTTATATGATATAAGTTATAAAAACTAATATAATATAACACATGTAAGTCATAAGTAACAAATATCATTCTAAAATATAGAGTAATATATTTTTTTTGTAAAAAAGTAAACTAAATTTAATATAGTTTTCTCATTAATTTTAAAATTTAAGAATAATTTTCTAACAACCACCCGTGTAATACACGGGTGTTGTACTAGTGTAATTCATATTTTATCATTATCTTACTTTTAATTTACATAAATACCTTTCTTCTTCAATTTCCCTTTTAGCCTCCCCATAATCCTCGTTGTTCAATTTCCCTTTTAGCCTCCCCATAATCCTCGTTGTTCAGCTAACCTTCGCTATTGATTTAATCTTCAACGGCTTCGACGCCACGAGCAACGTCTCGCTCTACAACACAGCCGTTGTGGAATCTAACACCCTTCTCCATCAGCTGCACTTTGTACCCTTTGAGGGTCCCAGCGAGATGGCCCAACTCCTCTGTTGTCATCCCCGTTTTGACTCCGTTTATCTTCGCCATGGCTACGTGCTCGGATTCACTCGCCGGGCGTGGCCTGGTTTTCCTGTTTGTGCTGCATGCATGGATTAGGATAATCACGTGTTGGAAGTCAAATCAAGAGTTGATTGGTATTAGCGGCGAGTTTAGTACTCCCTATACCCACTTTTCCCTATATTTTTTTAATGTGTTAGTGTAATTTCAAATTGAGGAGAGAAAATAGAATTAGGAAAATGTATAAATAGATTGAATAATTTGAATTTATTTTATGAATTTGCAATGTTATGGAAGGAATCTAAATTTTGGAAAAGGGCAAAATTTAAAAAATGGACGAAAAATGGTAATCTCAACTTAAAAGTTATAATAATTATCACTATTAAGTTAATGGACTAAAATTAAATTAGTGGATAGCCATAAAATCAAGAAGATTATATCAAGTTTACTAAATCTTTTGTCAGCCAAATGAACCCCAAAAAAATAAGGCAACATGCATGATGTGTAATTTTCTAACCGTTTTTCAAAGTCTCGAACATCAATAATAATCTTATGAACGGTTTTCAAAATGGTTCTATATAAAAGAACTTTCCAAACATCAAATATTTCCAATATTCAAAATCAAAATTAATTTTAAAATAATGATACTTGATATAATACTTTGACATAAAAGTTATCATAATTGATGTGTAGAATGAAATTGTTGATTTTAAAATTAATGTGACCTTGTGTATATTATATTAAAGTCCATAATGAAACGTAGATATTACGCGTAACGTGGGTTCAACTGTGTTAGAACACGAATTATTTGTAAATTTTAAATTTGTGTTGCAACACCAGAATTGTCAAAATAGCAGAAGCACAAAGCACGAGACATAAACTCTTTGGGGAGTGTCTGATCAGTACCCCTCGGAGATCTTTCATTGATAAATCAATTATGCACTCATGTATAGTTTGGACTTACAGAACTACAACTCCTTTCTAGCCTAGCTACAACTACACTCAATTCTACCAACTACTTATTTGGCACGTCCCGTGAACTTTACAGACTCGAATCTCTCGAGCAAACTCAGTACTTAATCCCTAAGTATTAAAACAAAGTGTTTGAATAATTATAAGAAAAATTAAATAAAAGTAGCTTCAGTTCTTCGATGACGTAAGAACATCGAAAAATGAACAACGAAACAAAACTAAAAAAATCTTGAACTCTCAATTGAAGCTCGAATAGTATTTGAGTTATAATAATCTCAGCAACCTTCAACTGATCTTCAAGTCAGGTATTTATATATTCCTTAGAGCATCCCCAATGCTCAATGTTGTTGTGAAAAATTACATTCCACATCAACACATTTATTAATATTACAATTTTTCATCCTCCAATGTACAATGTGATCACCAATGTTGTGATGATGTGGACATAATTAATGTCTACAATGTAGATAAGAATGTGGTTCATTCTATTCCACTCTAGTTAATTAGGAGAAGAGAGAAAATTATTATTACCATTTTCAAATTATTTAATTATTTAATTAATTTTATTAATTCATAGTAAAATTTCATTATTTGGCAAGTAGATAATATTGTAATTAGACAACATTGTGCATTGGAGATGATCTTTTAATTTAACAGTTGTGAACTCAACATTTGTCCTACATGGTTCACAATCTATTTAATTTTTTGACATTTGTAAAAAAAAATTTTATAACAACATTAAAGTAATGGAGATGCTCTTAGACGTGGAATCCTCTCCAAGTAATTTCCTTCTCCTTTTGATTTTTTTCCAAGTATTGATGTTGAAACATGGAAAGCGAATATAGCTCTTCTCTTCCTTCCTTTGATTTCCTTTCCATGCACGTCCCTTTCATGTAAGAAGTGAGAAAATATATGATTTCTTGTTTGACCGAAGTATATAAATAATAAATAAATAAATATGGATCTTCCCTTAAATTTCGTTTGATTGCATAGATGAATCTTCAATATATTATTTTTGAACTCGTTGCAAAAAATAAATATTTCACATATCGTTATTTAATAATCCTTAATGTGTATTCGTAGCATTAATTGGTGACTATTTGAGGGGTTAACGAAAGGAGACTGGGCTTGGTCGTATTCGACCCATTTTCGTGGAAATCGTAGTATTTGGGCCCTTGTACGATAACTCGGTGAATGGTGTATTCGTTCAAATTTATTTTCAATATTTTGAAATTGTTTATGTTGTTTGATTGCTTAAATTTGATTGGTTTCAGGTAATTTTCATTTTCAGCTTGAAGCGGAGATACCGGGATGTGTTCGAGACAAACCTTGTGTAGTTCGTGATCAACCGGGTGTTGTCCAAGACTTAACAGGGGTTGTTCGGGACCCGTTAGGGTCAGGTTGGACCCGGCGTCTCCTCGGACGACAACTCAACAATGTGTAAGAGCAAGAATTGTTTATTTTAAAATTAACATCTATAAATATATAAATTGGAGCAACAACAATAAATTTTATTCCCATGCATTTAATTATATTATCCCTCCAAAATTTTCAGCATTCAATTATATTATTTCACTTCCAACCAAAAGCAGTTACTAGTTACTATTTTTCTCTGCATTTAATTACATTATCTCCTATAAGTCATGAGTTTTGCTGTAATTACTATTTCTCTTATTAACTCAAAAAGTGTAAAAATGTATATAATTACCTTTTTCTTATTTGTTATTTATATTTGTTAAATAATCTAATTTGTTTTACCTGCTAAATGCTTAGCAGAAAAAAAAAAATAAACTGATCTTGATGAATTTAATTTATTTGCTTTTTTTATTTGTATTGAGTTCAATCTGAATATATATATATATATATATATATATATTTATATATACTTCTTTCGCTTTACCAAATCGGGCCAATTAAATAAATAGCCTTACAGAGAATATCGGCCAGTTAAACAAATAGCCTAAGTCACATTTACAAATTTTTTAATAAAAAATTAAGTCCAATTCACCACATTTTTTAATATGTTATCCAACCAAATTCTGACAATTATTCATAATGTAATTATTTGTTCAGTACGTAGATAATTTGGACCTAGATGTTTACATTTGCTGATAATTATAATAAATTCGACTACATTTTATTATTCCTTATTTGTTTAAGGGTTCCATTCAAGTTTCAACATAAACAGTTTTCTATCATGATCTCATATGCTATGACAATCAACAAGAGTCATGACCGGTCTCTCTCACACGTCCGCTTAGTCTTGAAGAACTCTGTTTTCAGTCATGGACAGTTATATGTTGCTCGACGAATTGGAATAGTTTGAAGATAATGATATGTAGTGATTGTGATTCCGCGATATGAAAATCATAATTGTTGTATACAAATAAATGTTTAATAAAATTTAAAATTATGTTCTTAATTCATATTTTTTATCATGCATTAAATTATAGTTATGTATTTTTTTTATATTGTTATATTTTCTACATATTTTTCTTCGTGCAAATGCACCGCTGTATAACTACATGATCTTGTATGTATTATATTAAAGTCTATATCGTCTATTATATAGAACAATCCACAATATTATGCTCTAAAAGCAAAAGAATTAATCCTAATAAATGGCATCTTAATAATATTCTTCAAACTTCAAATCTATAGTCTTTGAGTGAGACATATGAGCATGACATTTATATCAAATACTCTAACATCAACTTTATATTTTTGATAAATTAAAAAGGAAAGAAAACAGGGAAAAATATCTTCCAATTTCGTTCCAAATATCTTGTCCAATTGCCACGAAAATTTGAAAAACCCCAAAAGAAAAAGAAAAAAAAAAAAAAGCTAAAAAAATGCAAGCTTCTGCAAATCTCCTTCTCCACACCCAGCTCAAAACGACGGCGTTGAGCACCGTCACCAGCAGCCATCCGCCCCCAAATCCCCTCCTCCCTCAGCCCCGGCAGAGGACTAACACAGTCAAAATCGGAAGGCCCAAAATCCGATCGGCGAGCAGAGCCTCCTGGCAAGACGATTGCCCGATCGCCGCGGATTTCAACCTGTACGAGCTTCTCGGGGTGGAAGCGTCGTCGGACAAGGCTCGGATTAAGGAGGCGTACCGGGCTCTGCAGAAGCGGTGCCACCCGGACATCGCCGGCCCGACGGGCCACGACATGGCCATCGTTCTCAACGAAGCCTACGCCCTCCTCTCGGACCCGAACTCTCGCATGGCTTATGATAAGGTCGAATTAAACCCTTGTTATTGATTGGTTTTCTATTTGGTGAAGATTGAATTGATTTGTTAATAATTGTTATTTTTTGCTGAAAAATTAGAAAAAAAAAAAAAAGTTGTTTTAAGGAAGAGTGAAGATAAATTTGGTTTAGTATATGGTGGAGATTGAATAGGTTTGCTATTTTTGCTGGAAATTTAGAAAAGGTTGTTTTAACACAGAGTGAAGATAAATTTGAGATTGTGACTAAAAGAGGTGACTTTATAAAGATGTTAATTAATAAGATTAGTAGGATGATTTTTTTTTTTTTTTT